CTCAGGCAAGATAAACATATCTGAGTTACTAACATTCATTTTAATATAATGCCTAACATTAAATAGCTTTGCAGAACAATGTTATGATCAGTTCGATAGCGACGTTAGCTTTTCTTAGCTGCTGATCTTACTTACAGCATAATGAATTAGTCAGATCAAAGATCAAATTAGTCAGACCATATTTGCGATTAAAATATGAATGTACTTCAATGTGTGCAGTCTTTTGCATTATTTGAGGTTTGCTAAGGATGACATATCCTCAGCATCTAACATTGCACCAACATTAGTCGACCATCTGATCTGTTTTGTAGGTGATATTTGCTCTACAACCCCATTTCCGAAAAAGTTGGGAAGCTGTGCAAAATGTAAATGAAAAATAATGCAATGATGTGCAAATCATTGAAACCCTGTATTTAATTGAAAATACTACAAAGACAACATATCAAATGCTGAAACTGAGAAACTGTACTGTTTTTCAAAAAATATATGCCCATTTTGAATTTGATGCCAGCAACACGTACCAAAAAAGTTGGGACAGGGCAACAAAAGGCTGGTAAAGTTGTGTAATGCTAATAAAAACACCTGGTGGTTGATTGGCAACAGGTCAATAACATGATTGAGTATAAAAAAGCATCCCAGAGAGGCTGAGTCTTTCAGAGGTAAAGATGGTGCCCTCCCCATCTTTACTTCTGAAAGACTCATCCACTCTGGGATGCTTTTTTACACCCAATCACATTATTGACCTGTTCACCACTCTGTGAAGACTGCATGATCAAATAGTGCAACAATTCAAGGATAATGTTTCTCAACATAAAATAGCAAAGAATTTTTGCTTTTCATCATCTATGGTACGTAATACATAAGAAGATTTAGGGAATCTGGAGAAATCTTTGTATGCAAGGGACAAGGCCAAAAAACAGTATTTGCTGGCCATGATCTTTGGGCCCTCAGGCGGCACTGCATTAAAAATCACTGCATGGGCTCAGAAACACCTCTGAAAACCTCTGTGAAAACAGTTTGTCGCTGCATCCACAAATGCAAGTTAAAATTCTAAAATGCAAAGAAGAAACTGTATATAAACAAGATCCAGAAATGCTCCCACCTTCTTTGGGCCCGAGCTCATTTAAAATGGACAGAGGGGAAGTGGAAATTCTTTTTGGAGATCATGGACACTGTGTCCTCTGGGCTAAAGACCACTCAGCCTGTTGTCAGTGCACAGTTCAAAAGCCAGTGTTTATAATTGGATAGGGGTGCATTAGTTCATATGGCATGAGTGACATGCACATCTGTGAAGGCACCATTAATGCTGAACGATATAAACATGTTTTGGCAACTTATGTCTGCATCTAGATGATGTCTTTTTCAGGGAAGGCCATGATTATTTCAGCAAGACAATGTAAAACCACATTCTGCATGTATTACAACAGCATTCCTCTGTATTAAAAGAGTCCATGTGCTAAACTGACCTGCCTGCAGCCCAGATCTGTCACCCACTGAAAACATTTGGCGCATTATGAAATGAAAAATATGACAAACTCTACTGGTGAGTTTGCCTCTGGTACCCCTTTACCTAAAATGAGTTTGACCCCCATAGAGCTGCTTGTCTGTAAAGTTCTCTCTAATACATGACCCATGCTTCATGTTTGACAGCTTCGCTGTTCATCCTGTACTGACTCTGGAAGATGTTTTAAATAACTAACCTCCTATCAAATTTCCTATACTCGGGAGGGAACAGCCCTTCCTGACCATTCATATGACCCAGATTTTCTTAGGAGATAACAAGTTCGGACTAGATTTGTTCCTGTGCTTGAAAGCACCCTGCTGACTGCTGGTTAGGGAGTTTAGCAAGCAGTGTGACTATCACTGCTGTAAACATGACAGGAATAGGCTGAGGATAAAAAGTTTAGCAATTAATCTTCTGACCTGATTTCAAAAATAGAGCCAGTTTTGCTGCGTATGCTCTTCACCCTCATAGCAAATGAATGGCTACTTGCAAGGGCCCTGATTCATTAAAGTTTGGTATGATCAAAGCTGATTGTAAAACAGGCATTCAAATTTTTCACCAACAGCTGCATGTAAATTTGAACATAACCTAAAAAATGCTTCCTTTGAAGTAACTAAGAAAAATCATCAATATTATCAACCAGTAGTAACATTAAATACCAAATATTAATTATTATATTAGCTGCCACATAAAATTCTTGTACTAAAATCTGAAAAAAGGCGAAAGGCCTGACAAGAAACTAAACCTGTTAATTAACAGTAAAACTTTGTTTTCTTAATGTTGATAAAAATCTATAAAATTAGTCATTTAATTAAAACTAACTCACTGTAATTTAACAGTTTCACTAGTTAGTCATTCTGACACAGTATTTACCAAAATAATAAAATATATGCAAATGGGAAAATATTTCACTTTTAAAACTACAGCAGACGGTCTCCTCAGTTCCCAAATGCTTACAGAGTGTTGTTAAAAGAAGAGGTGATGAAACACAGTGGTAAACATGCCCCCGTCCCAACTTTTTTGGAAAGTGTTGTTGGCGTCAAATTCAAAATGGACATATATTTTTACATATAAATACTGGTTTTTGTCCTTGTCCTTTGCATACAGATGTTCCTCCAGATTCTCTGAATTTAATTTTATTGTGTACCGTAGATGATGAAAAGCAAAAGTTGTTTGCTGTAAAATCTCTTTATTTGTTGTCTTTGTACTATTTCCAATGAAATATAGGGTTTAAATGATTTGCACATTATTGGTTTTATTTACATTTTGCACAGTGACGCAGCTTTTTTGGAAATGGGGTTGTAGTAATTCTTCAGCGTTGTAACAAAACCTCATATCTCAAAAATGGTAACTTTACAGGATAAGAACAAATCATTCTCAGCTTTTGGTGAAAGTTAGGTGCAGCAGAAAAGGCCGAGAGGAGGCAGATGCATCACATGCAGGTGGCATGATATAATGCCTTTTTTATCTTAGCATGTCAACCCGTTGCACTTTTTAGAAATGTTGCTATGTAACTGGAATAATAACTGTTCACAGAACAGTAGAATAAAACTGTTCATAGAAGAGTACAACCCTAGAGAAGATGTTGGGACAATATGGAAAATGCAAAGACAAAAAAAGAAAGCAGTGATTTTATAAATTTACTTTAACTTGTATTTCATTGCAGAGAGTATGAATACAAGACAGATCATGTTTTGTCTGGTCAACTTCATTTCATTTGGAAATATACATCCATTCCTGTCATTCATGTCTGAAACGCATTCCAAAAAATGATTTGGTACAAAAGTAGCACAGAGGAAAGGCCTAGGCCGAGGATCGCCTGTTCGCCAACAAAGCATGAGACTAAAAAGTTCCTCAAAGAAAGATGGATATCTTCAATGCAATCTGGAGGAATTTCAGAGCAAAAGCAATCCTGAGCTGATTAACTGTGCTCTTCGATCCCTTTTTTGGATCTTCTTTGGAAGAAATGGACACTGTGTGCTCCAGACCAAAGACAAAAAGAACCATCCAGACTGTTAGCAGCAACATGTCCAAAAGCCAGGGTCTGTCATGGTGTGGGGTTGTGTCAGTGCCCTTGGTAAAGGTACGTTGCACTTTTGAGATGGCACCATTAATACAGAAAAGTACATTGAGATTTTGGAGCAACATTTGGTCCCTTCAAGACATTTTTTTCCTGGGATGCCCATGCATATTTCAAAAAGACAATGCAAAACCACATCCTGCACTCATTACAAAGGAATGGCTGCGTAAGGAGAGGGTGCGGGTGCTGGACTGACCTGCCTGCAGTCTCGACCTGTCCCCTATAGAGAATGTGTGGTGCAGTTTAAAATGGAAAATGTGACAACAAAAACAAATACTGTTAAAACAAATACCATAAAACCTGTTTGCAGGAAGAAAGGGACAAAATTACACTTGACTTCAGTCTCTAAATGTATTTTAAGTGTTGTGAGAAGGAATGACAACCTCACAAATTGGCAAATGCTTTACTGTCACAACTTTTTTTGAAATAAGAATCAAAATTGAAATGTGTTTATTTTGAAAAAAAAAAATCATGGGTAAAACATCAGATGATTTGCTGTTGTGTTGTTTTCAATGTAATACAGGTCAAAAATAATTTACAAATCAGTGTTTTCAGTTTTAAGTTTAATTTAACATACTCCATTTTTTCTGATTTGGGGTTGAGTAATGGTCAGTCAAGTGTTTGGTCTAACCATAGCACAGAGACAGCATTGTTCCTTGTTATGAATGTCTTAGTCTTAAGTTATAGTGCTGACTCCCAAAATCCTTCTGTTTTGAAAACCAGGTAGGCCTTTTAGACACAGTGTCAGAATGGGGTAAATCATATTTAATCAATAGAAAGTTTCTGGTTTCATTGGGAAATCATGCATCAGAAAACTGTAACATTTCTTGTGGAGTCCCACAGGGTTCAATTTTAAGGCCTTTGCTTTTTTCTTTGTACATGGTACTTACAGTTTTGTTATCAGGAATCATAAGAGGAATGTTCTCGCTATGTTCATAAGATTAAATTACACATGTATACAAAATCTGAAGTACGAAACCTTACCAAAATTTTAGATTCTGGTCTTTGTTTTGTCCCACATGTAAACACAGTCACTAAAGTTGCAGTTAATCATTTGAGAAATGTTGCTAGGTAGTTTCTACCCCAGAGAGATGCAGGGAAACAGATGTCAGAGGAATGTTGATTTTTTATCTTCAGTGGCTTATTATTTAATGTGTCTTTTTGCATGGTGTTATGTTATTAGGTCTTATATGTGATTCTTGTAATAATCTTTAGTATAGTTAAAAAAGAGCAGCGAATGCTTTGCATAATGCTTTGTTTGTGCTGTACATTTTAATCAGGAGTTCAGGAATATAACTCAAGTTTGAATATAAGATCTTTTACACCATGTCATTTCCAAAGATAGTATAAAATAGTATGTGAATAATTTTTTTACGTGAATCACTTTTAATGATTTTATGCTGTTTTTCTCTTCAGCTGTGTATTTTTGACTACTGTGGATGCTCACGCTGACAGCAGCTTGGAAGAAGTCCTGGATATGCTGAAAAAAATGAAACAGATAATTGAAGTAAGACATGATAATATATAAGCTTCATGTTACATCACTTTTATATTATTAAAGTTAATCTTTGTGCTGCTCTTCTTTAAAGTATGTAAGTAGTAGAATGATTGTAACCACTGTTTCTTGCACCTTGTCTATTGATTTTTTATTAAAACTTCAAACTTAAATATTAATAAAAAAACATTTTACTGTATCTTGAACCGTAATTATGATTGTAATGAGTTAATTTGCCTGTGCTATTTAAACACATTATATTCACTTTACACACATATCACAACCCATCTTTGTTTCATTTATGTATTTTTTTTAGAATTCGGATGCCCTATTATACACTCCACGTGCAGATATAGATGTAAGTTTGTTTGAGTCATCATTTTTCTTTTTTTATAGTAATTAACCCAGTTTTATGACACAGCACAGGCTGCATGTACATTTACAGTCATATGAAAAAAAAAATTCACTCCAGGCCAAATTACTTGTTGTGAAAACATGTTAACACAGTCTCTACAGGGAACAAACTTAATATGAAATTTTTCATTGAAACTGAAGGGGAAGGTTAAAGGGACATGTGTCAACATCAATAAATGTGTCTGGGATTACTCGGATTGTGAGAAGCAGAAAATGCAACCAACTTCAAGGACTAAACTGAGATAAAGAAATGCAAGGAAGGGAGGCTGTATTGAAGGCAAATAGTGGACATACTAAACACAAAAAAATATTATATTTAGTTGTTGAGGCTTCTGTGTAATTTCCAGTTTAATATGTTTCCTGCTTTTCTCCTGCACTGAAAAATGAATAACTTGTACTTGATGGCCATTTTGACTGGAAATTGAATTATTATATTAACAAAAGGTAATTCCTTTTGTATGTTCCTTGCTGTTAATTACATTTCATTTCTATCTGCAGAAATGCACTTCTACATCAATGTACTGCTACCTGCTGGAGTTGGATGTTATTTTAAGAGAGGAGAGTGGCTCAGCATACGACAATGAAATCAATATGGTATACAATCTTAAGAAAAAATACTACAGTTGCTCTCAAGTAAGTCCACTGTGTGATTATTCTTCTCAATTTTTGTCCTGATCCTTGTCTGACTCACAGCTAAAGAATTATTGTGTTGATACACTATGATCATGCACTGAAGCTGTATCTAATACACCAAATTCAGGGTTGGGATGTAATGGAATACAAGTTTTGGGAATTCGTATTCAGAATACAAAAATGAAGTATTTGCATTCAGTTCGAGTTACATTTTGCAGTATTCAGATTAAAGTTACTTTCTATATTTTAGGAGAATGCTTTTAGAGTACTTACTCACTAAATAAAAAAAAACATACATTTATTACCTATTTTAGAATCAATGGACGGCATGTAGCCAACACGCTCGTTAGAGAAACCATAGAGGACCTCAATCAACAGCTTCTTTACACCGAAGTTCCTACTAAAGCCTGAGTAGACTGATAAATCAATGTGATGATCAGTTATTAATCTCAGTGTTACTGAGCTCTGCTAAAGCCTGAGTAGACTGATAAATCAATGTGATCAGTTATTAATCTCAGTGTTACTGAGCTCTGCTAAAGCCTGAGTAGACTGATAAATCAATGTGATCAGTTATTAATCTCAGTGTTACTGAGCTCTGCTAAAGCCTGAGTAGACTGATAAATCGAAGATAGAGGAATGATCCACATTAACAGCCCCCTCAGTAGTGGACGTGTTTGCGAGTGTTAAGTTTAGTATCTGTGTTGTACTATGCTGCTCAGGGGATTGTGGGAGCAGCAGTGGACTGAAGCATTGAGTGAGAGAGAAAAAAAGTTCGAAATTTTCAGAACTTCATTTAAATGACAACCTAATTTATCATGAAATATATTAACAGAGAAAACTGGCAACGAGTAACAGTGAGGAACAGTGTGAATTAAGTAAAAAATAAAGGTTTTTCCATCTGCCCTTTGAAGTTTTTCTTTTTCTGAACATGTCACTTTTTATGTACTATAACGGAATATGTTACTAAATATTACTAAATATGTTTAGAACAGTGTATTCAGTATTTAGCCATAACTACATTTTCAAAGTATTCTGCCCAACCCTGACTATAATAATGTAGTAACAGTTTACTAATCAGTTGATGCTTTTCATGCTTAGTTCAAAGCAATCACCTTAACTTTTTTTGTTTTTGAAAACTTGTAGACTTGCTAGTTATGGATGTGTTGTGATTTTCCATTTGGTCTGTTTTTTTGTAGAGCCACTGTCCAGCATGTGAAACCCATCCAGTAGCCAACGCCACAGTGTTCACGAAAAGGATGGAGGAGTTTATTCAGAAACTGTCAAGTCGTAACTCTCACAAAGACTGTGATTAGCACACTAATCTTGATGTAAATATCCTCCTTGTCCTTTTATCATGTATTCAAAAAGACTATAAATGTATTAATGTTTATTGTATTTATGAACATAACAGCCATATTGTACACTTATTTCTTGCCTCAGGTCAAATGTGTTAATTTGCTCCACTTTCTAGTTTTAACAAATTATTTTTTTATATCTATTTTTATAATATGGGGGCTCTTTTCTGTAAGCATTCCATACAGTTGAATGTAGGGCAAATATGTAGCCGTGATGAATAGTAGACAATACCGATTCTGCCACTTCTGAACTGCCTTGTCTTGGACTGAAAAGGGCTCACTGGAGCGTTAGACAGTGTTTATTCCAAAGGCAGGCTTAGGCTTTGTTAAGGAAGACACTCCTAATTTTATCTGTATGTGAAGCTAGGGGACGATGGTGCTGGAATAAGGTTTAATGTATCTTTGTATGTGATGCTGTTTGTTGTATTGTAGCATTCTGGCCTATAAAGTACTTTTTATGTCCCTGAATACAAACATATAAATGTATATATTATATATATAAGTTTATATATACTACCTATAATGAAAACAGAAAAGATACTGAATCTATAGGTTAAGCTGAATATTTAAACAGCACTGTGTTTTTGGTGTCATGTATCTACATTTTCACGAAGGGAATGAGCTCGCTTTGTATAGAGCTTAGCTAATACTGCATTATAAGCTTATTCTCTCGTGTGTAACCTGATGTAACCCTTCTATATTGCCTTTACTGTATCAATAAACATGGTGAACCTTCTCTCTCGCAGCCTCTCTCAAGCAATTTACGAGTTTTCTATTGATGTGTTATCACAGTGCCTACGTCTAATTCGCCGCTGACCATAACCTCGAGAACAAAAAAGAACTCTTTTCTGAAAATAAAAAAACACAGCTGCTGCAACCCTCAACCCTACCTCCAGCATCATTCCTGTACCCAGGACAGCACAGGCTGTGCTGCAGTCATGCCGAAACCCGGGACCAGGACAAGGGCCAGAGGAATAAGCTATCAAGGCTTTTGTCCACCTGCATCTGGCCGGCGCCACAAGCTGCTTTTCAGGAGGCTGAAAAGCAAAGGAAGCAGCTTGAGAAGCGACAGCCCGCAGTGATGCGGCACCCCTCGGCTTGCACGGGGGCAGGAGCCCCCTTCTCATCCCTTCAAACTTTTCTCTGTAGCTCTAGTACGTAGCTCTCTCTGTCAGTCCTCCCTTCCCTGCTCCGAGAAGGACCAGAGCTCTCCCTGTCAGATCCAGAGATGGATCTGCAGCTGGTGGCACAGGAAACATTGCACAGGTGCATAGAAAACATGACGCAGTCAGTAAAGAAACTGAAACTAAAATGAGACTGGCTTCTACAACTGGACAATTATGCAAAATATATTTATGTACATAAAACATAATTATATAAAACATTATTTACCTAGATGCCCCTGCAAACGAGAAAGTTGTTTGTTTTCGTTTGCTGCGTTCTCCCTGGAAAGACAGTAAAATCTCTGTCTGCTGGGTCTTAAAAACCATTCAAATGTTTGAAGTTGAGAAGAAGAAGAACTGACAAGCCAAATGTACCAGAGAGATCATTCTAGATTCTTCCAGCAGTCAACCAGTGGTACGGCACACAAAACAAGTGCTTCTGTTTGTGTTTGTTTTATTGGGATGCTCTGGCTTTAAGAGTGTCAGTCTGTTTTTGCTTTGTACTAGACAGCTTGACAGATGTTTCTTTTTTTTGTACCTTTATAAGTGCCTTTATTAGTCATACATTTTGCACAGGCTGCTTTAGTTTTTCCTTTTCTGCCCATGTAAACATTAGCAATGTTAGTAAGTGTCTTAGACATCACAATTAGCAAGCAAGGTGGCTTTGTAGTTCCACATTACATTGTACATTGTAGTTCCACATTAAAGACTTTGCCAAGCTATCGTAGTGGTACTGCATCTATTTCTCTGGGTTTTTAGCAAACCTCTGTGATAACAAAGCAGAGGACGGTTCATATGTCAGTGAATTAATATTAAAAGTGTAAGCAAACCTGTCCTACTGTTCAGCCCCGGTTCAATTTTATCCACCCTTTTTTGATTGGTTACCTCATGAAAAGTGACATTTGACAAGTAGACTTCACCTGCATAATTGGCAGATTAATTGATCGGCATAAAAAAAATTCTGTGGCAGAAAGAGCAGAGTCAGTGGAATCTATGTCCTACTATAAGATATAAAGGCATTTTGGGTGGAATACGGTCCACAGTGTGTAGCAGCCTAAAGAACTGAAGCCTGACGTGGCCCTGAGCAGGATTAACCATGGACAACTGGAGGAAACTGATCTGGCTGAGCAAGTGTGAAACACTTCTGTGAGCCTGTATGAAGCACTGTTACATCTAATCTGGAGCCTCCATAAAGGAAGCGTCATCCTCTTCAGGTCTCAAGTGTTGCAACAGATGCTTGTTAATATAAAAAAACAAAGTATGCCATTTAATATTTGCTTAACAAATGTTTCCCAAGAAACCTTCTGGAGCAACACCTTTGAATTTGAGGCGTTTGATTACAGTGAAACAACTTTTACACATAAAACATATAATACAGCAAGTCCTACACTGTGAAGGCTATGCTGTATTATATGTTTTATGTGTATTAATATAGTTGTATGTGTTATAGTACGCATGTGATCTGTGTATGTTTTATGTAAGCTGGGAGAACATTGTGAACAGTTATCCCGGGCTTTCTGTGTATAGGTTAAGGACAGCTGTTATTTCTGTACCTAATTTTCATTGATTCAGGCAACAGTGTGCTTGAACCAGCCTATTAGACACGGCTATTTTCTATGTCAAGCAGGTCAGCTTGCTATCTGTAAACTGTGCGCACAATAAAGAAATAAAGATCAATGCTACAGACGCATGGCTGGCCTCCTGGCCCTGGTTCTAAAAAAAAGGGTACTATAAATTCTACAACTGAAAACCCCAGTGCTGAAATTCACTAGTTGGATTGAGTGAAGAAGACTTTACTGTTACGTTAAAGTAAATGTTTTTTCTTTCACAAATTCTTCTTTTTGGGTTTGTACAACTGCTAAGTATTGGTTTAATTTGAGTCCTATTTGCCATTTTAATTAAATATAACTCTGTATTTTTCAGACCACGTCATACGTCTTTACATGCTAATATCACACGCACAGGCTCAAAAAGAAGGTCCGAAGTGATGTTTAAGCCAAATACAAAAACAATATCATACTGATTAAGGTATGATGATAATAGTAGATCATTCACTTGCATCCTTGGAAGATACATATTTCACCAGGTTGACCCAGTTCTCTTTGAATACTCTTTCAACACACTTGCCAAAGGCAGATGCGTCTCTTTGTGGGGTCCAAAGCACAACTGATGTTACAAAATATTCTTCCTCATATTGCATGCAATTACATATTTTCACCAGAGAGGTCTCCAGATTCCCTAAACTTACATAGTGTTGCTTTAAGTAATACTGGGTCTGTCTTCTTTTTGTGATCTGTAAAAAAAAGCTGTTTTAATGGCCTTTAATCAAGTGGTGCAAAAGTATGATATATCCAGAAATGACCTGTTCTGTGATCTTCAAGTACAGGTACAAGTTCTACAAGGGAAAAAAACTACATTACTCACTGTAATGTTTTACTTGATAGATTTACTTGACACTTGAATGATTTGTGATGATCTGACCCTGTCCAGGGTCCGAGGTCCTGTGCTCTTTGAACTTGTTGTTCTTACACACTTTCCCTTTCTATTTCCAATAGTATTGTGCAAACAATGGAACAAAAACTTAGAAACCTGTAAACTTATAATGGCAGCATATTTTAAAGACAACAGCGATGCATATATAGTAGATATTTTTTACATTTTCTTGTTATAAACTGGTTGGTGTACATGCACACACTCAAAAAATTGTCATATGAACTCAATTCAATTGTACTACATATTTCCATTAAGTCAAATTGCATGAAGTCAGTATACACAAACTTTGTAACCTCAAAATAAAGGTCTGTTGTTGATGTAACAAATTTAAAACATTTCAGTGAAATTTATTTGGGTCTCAAGCAGAAATCTGCCTCATCAACATACACAATATAGAATTTTATTTGCTCCCAGCTCCATCTTTCTGTGAGAGATACAAATGTAATTGAAAAAAAAAAAATTGACATATAACAAGGACGCGGGAAGGTGTTTCGAACTGGGGCTGCTAAAATTTTAAGCAGCTTATATGCATAAATGCATGATGTCATATATACTGTTTCCATGCAAAATGACATCCCTTTTTCCATTTGAAATTTTTGCAAACACAGTGTGTCACTATGTGCTGAATGTGAGACAACAATATACACATATAAACGACATAAAAAACACCCTGCTCTCTCTGCTCGCCCTCTCTCTGGGAGAACTTGATGCAAATGAGCTGAGTGGTGACCAATCCGATTGTTCATATGTGGCCTGATAACTGATTAACACCCATTGTCACTATTCAAACTGAGATTCATATTTCCAATGAAAAGTGATGCACAGTGAGCAGGAGATATAATTGCTGAGAAAACAAATTACATATTCGAAACAACAATAATAAGTTACTTGAAGCTTTACAAAACATTATCACACTGTTTTTGATCACAGAACTAGCTTAAAGCTCTGCATGCACTTTTACTTGTGTGTGTTTTTTTGAGATTTTTTATTTGAAGACTGTCCCAGAGACACTATAAAGGAGGAGACAGATCACTCTTTGAAATATGTTTGGGAAAGCTCTTTACGCTGAATGTGGTGTCTGTTTATGGGGAAAGTCTCACCCCTCTATAAAAAAAGAGCCAACTGGCAAGAAAAGCCACAAGTGGGAAAACTCTCTGTGGAGATATGCTCATGACCAGTGTTTTTGTGAGTTATTTGAGCCAAACACTACTAACTATTTATCCTGTTTTTGATAGATGTCAGAAATTATTTCAAATATATATTTATAACGTTAACGTGGCTTTTAGTTTCAGATTTACAGGCCTCTCTATTCAAAGAGATAGATGCCACGTATTGTATGACTGAAAATAACAGTGAGAGCATTGCTGAAATAGCTGCCAAGTGACACACACTTTCCCATAGGGACTTTGTTTAGGCAATTGTAAAAACTCTTTGCCCTTTTCCTGATTTCCTTCATTATTGCTTGCGTCTCACTGAACCTAATATTAGAGAAATGGAATCACGAATAAACACATAATGCATTATTAAATAATTATTTTGGTCACACTTTATTTTCGGTGGTCCTCTATAGATAATATGCACATGCTTACATTATTTGAAAAGGTTCTGCTGATAGTTGATTGATTGACAACATTATTAGAGTTAGGTAGTAGTTGAATGCAATAGAAATATAACTGAATGTTAGTTAAAGACAAACTAAACACCTACAAAGCATCTACAATACACTATAAAAATAAAGTTACCATTATTTCCTTTATTTAATACTATACTATGTATGTCTAGGAGATTTGGAGACCCCTCTGGTGGAAATATGTAATTGCATGCAAGGTATAGATGAACATTTTGGAACATTAGTTGTGCTTCAGTTGAATTAAACAGATATTTAGTTAAACATTAATTAAAGACACACTGAGCACCTACAAAGCATCTACAGTGGACTATCAAAATTAAGTGTTAACATTATTTCCTTTATTTAAAACTACACTATGTATGTTTTGGGGTTTTGGAGATCCCTCTGGTGGAAATCTGGAACTGCATGCAAAATATAGAAGAACATTTTCAAGATTCAAGAGTTCAAGAG